ATATGTATATATATATGTGTATATATATATATGTATATATATATGTATGTGTATATATATACATACACACACACACACATATATATATAAGATTATAGAGATAATTTCCTAACTTTACATCTCTCTCTATTCCCATCCCCATGATAGGTTTGTGTAAGAGCTTTGCTTTAGCACTGAGAGAAATCAGCTCCATGGAATATTGGATGTCTTGCTTCACACTTAGATTTGTGACAAACCATTTGCTGTTAATAAACCTCTGTTGTCATGAAAATGGTCTAATGGAATTTTTGGTTTATTTCCTGATGTTTATTGATGCAAATTACCTCTTGATCAGTGTTTCTCAACCTTAGCAACTGTTAAGATTTGTGGACTAACATAGTGGCTGTAGAATTCTGGGAGTTAAAAATCACACATCTTAAAGTTGCCAAGGTTGAAAAAAACTGATTTGGATATTAGTACTTCACAAATTATTAGAGACAGATTCTTCACAAAGTGCATTAGCAATAAATGCAGTATTTGTCATCATAGTTTTAGCAGTGTGTTCTTTTCAAAGTTTCCCCGCCTATTTCAAAAACTGCTTCCAATGTCCAAAGACACAGCTACTTTGATGCTCCAAACAGATATCTTCATTTGCACAAATGTACTTTACAGTACAAAGTAGCTCTTTTGAATACTTTACATAGCATTTTCATATTAAAAAAATCATTTGGAGTTAATATAGAATTTTACTAGCATTTTGTTGCCTATATACAGCAAACTTTCCCCAAACAAAGTATATTTCTTGATGCAACGTGATTTGGTTATTATGGCAGGAATTATGAAAATAATTCTATCCCTTAAGAATGAATAATGTGTTCTTTTGAATTACTGTTATCAATTAAACAATTTAAACAATTTTTAAAGTGGCTAGCACAATCAACTTCTCTTGAAGACAAAAAAATGAAGGTACATTCAAATTGAAACTGTATTAAATTGCTGCAAGGACAATGTATTTTTGGTTAAAATTTAATTTAAAAAAATCTATATATTACTAAAAATTATTCACACAAAAATGACCCTCAAATGTAAAAACACAGCAGTAAAGTGGATGACAAAGTGACAGTATCAATGAGTGTTGGGAGATTTGCACGAACAAGTTAAAGATAAAGCATCAGGAAGAAAAAGGGCATTGGTACTTACTGATACGCCACTTCTAATAAGATGGAGATAGCATCCATGAATGGGTTAACACAGTCCATGATCTGATTGGACTGAGTCTGATTATTAATTAATTACCTGCCTATATAACCCACCTTGTGAGTATCCCCACCCAGCTTTCTGGCGAAGTAAATAATCACAGACTCAACGTGTTATCCAACCATAATTTACTAGTACTCAAATTCACTACACTAATGAGAAAAATTCAAACTCTTCCAACCAAATGGTGCACTGGGGAGGGGCAGAAATTGGGAAGGACCACCTCCTGGGCCCTATGGAACCAAGACCCCACCTTAGGCACAAACGAAGAATCAAGCCTCAGCACTACCCAGTCAAGATAAAACCTGCACAAATCCTCCCGCACCAAAAGGGCATGTAATTCTGATATCATCCTAGCGGACGTTATTGCTACCAAAATGGCAACCTTCCATGTAAGTAGCTGCATGGGTACCTCCCCCAGAGGTTCAAAGGGGGCCCCAGTAAGTGCCTCCAACACCCTTGTGAGGTCCCAGGAAGATGGGACCGCAGATTGGCGGCCCCCTTCAGGAATCTCTTCATCATCGGGTGATGTGATAGGGGCTGTCCCCCCGCCCCCAGGTAAGTATAGTGCTAAGAGCAGCAACCTGTCTTCTGACAGTGTTAGGAGACAATCCTTTCTCTAGACCATCCTGTAGGAATTCTAGGGCCTGGGAGACAGAAGACTCAGCAGGAATAGTGTGTTTGGGTTGGCACCAAGCACAATATATCTTCCAGGTGGCGTTATAAATGCAGACAGTTGATGGTCCCATTGATGCCTGAATGGTATCTATAACCCTGGCTGAAAATTCACCCCTCTGAAGAGCATGCCACTCAATCGCCAGGTGCTCAGTTGGAGCCACTGAGGCTCCAGGTGTTCCACTGACCCCTGACGGACGATCCTGTCCGCTGGAATCCTCCAGGGTCTCTCTGCCGATAGTGCCCGAAGGTCAGCGAACCATGGCCGCCGTGGCCAGTAGGGTGCCAAAAGTATGAGCTCTGCTCCTACACTGACAACTTTGTGGATCATCCTGGGTAGTAGAGGCACTGGGGGAAGGCATACAGGAGGCCCTCATACAGGGCCAGGGGCAGCGGAGGGCATCCACACCCTCTGATCCAGGTGTGCAGAACCTCGAAAAGAACCTGGGGAGTTGGGTATTGTGCTGAGAGGCAAACAGATACCTCACTACTAAAGTAATAACCCAACCTCTCATAAGAGAAGTCATGGAAGAACATTATTTAGATGAGAACAAACACACTCAGCAACCCTGAACATCAGAAAAAGGAAACAGATAATCTATATAACACCTTGAAACAAAATAGGTATCCATACAACTTCATCAAAAATTGCTTGACCACTCAATCCAATATACACTATATTGCCAAAAGTATTCGCTCACTCAGCCAAATAATCAGAATCAGGTGTTCCAATCACTTCCATGGCTACAGGTGTATAAAATCAAGCACCCAGACATGCAGGTTGTTTCTACACACATTTGTGAAAGGGTGGGCCGCTCTCAGGAGCTCAGTGAATTCCAGCGTGGAACTGTGATAGGATGCCACCTATGCAACAAATCCAG